GACACCGATATTATATGTCCATTGCTTAATCAATGAACAATGGACAGCATTTTTTGTCCAGTGTTGTCCATTGTCCAGTCATGACAACACTGATTATTAGTATGTCCCTTGCTTCCAATCTTTGATGAGTTGCATCGTTTGTCGAAATTTACTTTTTATATTGTTTGCTACCTTCCTTTATTTCTAATAAGCTAAGTATACTGTTTATGGGATAAGATTTAATATGATTTATTATTATGCCCATATTTCTATACGTTCATTCATTATCATATAAATGAGAACTTTAGTTCTTACTTCTATTGAAATAATCATGCCCAGTAGTTGCGTTACTTTCAAACGCTCTTAAAACTTAAACATTGCAAAAGTAGTTATTTACCTCTTTGCATCAGGATAAGGGCATTACGAAGAAACAATCTGGTTGTAATCCTGCATAATCGTTTCTCAAGGACGGGTGAACTTATGATGATGAACATTAGATATCCACCCGGTCATAATGGTTTAGCTTAAGTTTGGTTGGTTTGGTTTCCAACAATGATCCTTATAACGATAGTTATTTTACGTTAATTTGTTTATCAGCATTTCATTTCTATAAAAGTGTGAGTGTGACTTTTTAATAAAAATTATTAAAATAAACTTGCAACGTAAAAATTTTAATTTTCATAGAAATTCCACCAAAATAGTTTATAGATCATTAATAATTGAATTAATATATTTAAATATATAAAACTTTTAAAACTTTTTACTTTACATAGATTAACCTATGTGATCGATTAATTCTAAAAAGAGGTTGCTTGGCTAAACAAATATTTATTATTTAAAGATTTCATTTTCGATCATAGTGGAAATTTCATTGATCATGAATTGCCGTAATTGATCCTCGGATCAGAAAATACGAACGAGTACGATTTTAGAAAAATTGATTAATGCTAAATAATGTTTACAGAAGAGCTTGGCGTGTGCTTCTTTGGGAATTGGAGTGGAAATGGCTATAGACCCATTATATATCAATTTCCTAAGCCCAGATATACGATACATTATTAAAAAGGCATTTGAGGTAAATACTACCGGTACTGTTTAAAAATCGATCATAATCTTCATCTCGTTGTTTTAATAACAGACAGATTAGTATTTGAATGTTAGACATGTATTGTCAATTCTCTTATAACCATTTTGACCTCAGAACATTAAGATATTTTACCAATGATCACATTGCCTCTTCTACCAAATATTTTTCTTTTAGTCTTTATTAACGCAAAAACGGTCCTTCTTTTTTTTCCGTTCAGATGTTACAAGATTCGGAAAGTTTAATTTCAATTGAGAAAAAAAAAAGAATTTATGGCTAAAGAGAAGTGCTCTTTCCTTACAGCTTATTATGCATTCTAACTTCAAAAGACATTCAACCTATAAAATTGGAATGTTTCTTATCCAGTCACGATCAAATTCTTACTGCCGGATGAAATTTTGATCTGAAACTGAGAGTCTGTCAAGTGATCATGATCTTTAAAAAAAATTACATGTTGTGGCATGCTAAAAAACTTTTCTATTACATTAGAGGAAAGTTATTATACAAAAGTCTCAAAAACTACCATTATATCTAATTTACCTGTTCTAAGTATTAATAATATGTGCAAGATAAATTTAATTCTAAATATACTGTAACTATTAAGATTTTGGTCAAAATTATTTGCCAGATAGGTGCGTAGTGGAAATGTTTTAAAATCAGTTATGGGCCTACGAATCGTCAACAATTATTTGAGGACACTATAAAAGTTGTCACAGTTTGAATATATCTACGACATTCTGCACTAATCATATGCTTATATTAAATATTTAAATGTTAGAGGTTAAAATTTTTTATTTTATTTATATTCTTTATTATTCAATAGAATTAATCATAGAGAATTTTGATCATGTTTAAATCAAAATCAATTTTCAAATATTTACAACTCGTTTAAAAAAATATCAAATTTTGGTCTTCGAATTCAACTTTCAAGTAATCTCTCCGGTTTGTTTCACGAGTTCAAGAAATTATGCGGGTCTAGCAAATACTTGAGACCAATATTTATCACCACCAAATGCGACTCCCATATTAGTGTAATCTGGATTAAGAATATTTTGTCGATGTCCGGGGGAATTCATCCACCTTTTTTAATAAAAAATGAAAAGGTGATTTTAATTAGAACTCGAATTTTAAATGAATCCTCAATATAATAATAATAAGAATCTTACATTTGCATGACATCCGCTTCCCCGGTCCAAAAGCGACATTTTCAGCACTCATACTAGGATTGTACCCTGCATCTCGAATACGTTTCTCAAAATCACCGGCAGGGTTATCGTGAGTCATTTTTTTGATACTAGCCATATAATCGGCTTGACTTTGAGCAGCTTGCATCAATCGACTATAAAAAAAAAATAAATTAAATAATTAAATCGTTAATACAAATTTCCTTTAATAACAAACAGCACGTAAAATCATAAAATTTACCCGTCTAAAGTAATTTCAAGAGTTCCAACTTTTGCATTTCTACGTGCTTCGTTAACAAGGTCACGTACTTTCTTGGAATCAAAGGCATCGACTACAGTGACCAATGCCAAAGTGGCGATAATAAGGAAAGCACAAGAAAATTTAATTGCTATCATTTTATGTATGAGTTTCTATTCGATATTAATGTAAAAATTAGATTTTGAATATTTCAATGAAGCTCAAGGAGGCATATTTATAAGGGTAGGTGGTAAAAGCCTTATAAGCCGAATCCCACAAATATTTTGCATAATGTGACCTATTTCTGAAAATTGGATCACGACCAATTCTTTTTGATGATCCATATATATTAAGATCGGAGTCCAACAGGTGAGAAAATCATTCGATTTTCCAATGGGACAGCCCCCTCCAACCAAAAATATGAAAATATTTCACATAATCGGTGGGCGGAATCACCCTACAAGACGAAGCATACGCACCTCAAAATGAAAAATGATTTTGAATTCTCAAACCTCGCAGAACAACCAAATAAAAAATAATTTACTATCAATGTGATCTTTGGATT